GCCTGCCTTTTGGAGAGCTATATATGTGGAGTATGAAAATGCTATTTTTAAGGTTGCTGCCAGGTATAATTTCTAAAAGAGCGTGTTCAATCTTGCTATTTGCCATGTGCAAATTGTGCTCAATGTAAGTGTACTTCTTGGACACAAACGTGCAGATACCGCGGCCATCTGGAGGTTTCGTAATGTGATGGGTGTAGCCTGGCAGGCTCATTGTTTCCGTAAGCGTCTCCTGTAGCATAATAACATGTGGTCGAATTGGCTGGGATTTAATATACTGCTGGAGAGCTGCCTTCTTTGATTGGAAGCACCAGCAGTTCCACTGCCAAATTACAAAATTTTTAAGGTGTCCCGCCATTGTTGGGACCCTCGAAAGCTCTCTCCTGAGAGACGCTACGGGTTGCCACCTTCTGCACGATCCTGACCTTAGGTATCACTTGGGCCGGAGTAGCCTCGGCTGATTGTAAAGCTTTAACTTGGTCAGCCTCGATCTTTGTGACTCTGCTGTCCAATACCGCAATCGACTCGACCACCGCCCTGAGAGCATTTTCGATATCATTCAAGGTTCCTTGACCTCTGTTTTGAAATCTCTGTCCTCGTTATTGGCCGGTTGTGCTAGCGCTCTCCTTTTTGTTGTTTTGCCCCTGGATGGACGTCCATGGGTACCTCATCGTGACTCGCATCCGATGTGGCCTCTGTACAGGGAACTGTGTTTGAAGGAGACGGAGACGAAACCTGCTGTGATTTTCTTAAGTCTGCTATTTCTGCCCTGAGTTGCTCGACAATGGCCCTGAGGTTAGCATTTTCCCTTTGCATCTGCGCATATATATCTGAGTGTTGCTCTGGATTGGTACCCCCCTTTACCTGTGGTTGGGAGCCCTTGATCTTGGATGCCCAGGTCTGGTGCTGATTTCCTTGCTGCACACCATTGCGGACGGTAGGCACACGTGAGTTAGAACGGCCCTTGGATCTAGAATGTCCTCTGGATCTCGAACGGCTCCTTGCTCTGCCTCTGGAACGGGATCGCCCTCACGGTGGTTGTAGCTGTTGGCTGACGTCACGCGGGCGCCAGCTGCTGCTCGAGCGCTCAGTCGTAGCGCGGCCGCCTGCAGCGGCTGGTAGCGATAGGAAGTCTCCTCTACTATCTGGGAAGTTCATGTCGTCGGCGTCTTGTTCCGCAAATTCCATCGTATATTGCATCCGTCGCTCTCGTCTTCGTCGAAGCACTATCTAGGGCACTTGAAAACGATGCTTACACGTCTTGTCTGCCGTGAGATGTGGACCCCCACACAACTTGCATTCTGGAGTGCAGACGTGACCCTCCGAAGGAGATGACATACCACACCCTCTACAGACGGCCTCCTCTGGATGGGGACAAACATCGGCTCGATGACCTAGCTTTCCACAGGCATAACAGACATCGGTCTGTCGACGATACAGGGTGCAGCGAACCAAACTATTTCCACATATGACGTAATTTGGCACTTTTAGTCCGTCAAAGAGGACGATTACCGTGGTGGAATTCTTGATTCTTTTCACTTGGAGTGCAGTCGGGTTTCTTGGGTGTACAATAAGTGAATAAAGTTGTTCTTGACCGATGTCCACGTCAACACCTCTGATGATACCTTTGCAGGTGTCGTCGGGAGCAGCTCGGTAGGCACTAACATCAAAACTGGTGGTACCGAGAGTAATGGCGGTGATCTTGGAATACGCTCTGGCGTTCCTCTCCGCTGGAGTGCTTATAACTGCAATGTTCTGCATCATATTCGGGCATACCACGTCTTCTGTGACTTCTTCCTCACTGAGCGCTGCAGCCACTGCGAGTGCCTTCGCGAACTTAATTTGACTCACAGTTCTCATGTCCAGGCCATTTCTAGGTCTCACGATGACTCGATGGTGATCTCTTGGAAGGTAAGGAAGTCTAGAAGCAGCGATAAGACGCTTCTTCACCGCAGCCCGGGAGCGCTGAGGCGACCACGCGTCGCCGTGCATGGAGACGCTTGCTTGCGTCTCGGTCCTGGGGGTATGCGTCCCACGAAGTTTACGTTTAGTGGTAGCCACAGACCATCCAGAATCTTGAAGATCATCGGGAGTGATATCCTCCCTATCGACAGAGACTTGCATAAACATTCCGTGCGTAGAGTGCTGGAACACCCTTCCGAGAAGGGCCGGCGGCCGCTCCGCCGTAGCCTAAGCCTAGCGCGCTCAGCTGAACAGATGGGCAAACAGAAGAGTCTCGAAAAAGTGTCAAAAAGCTCACCCACAGTGAAATACTTGGTATCGATGTAGTCCGTGCGGTTTTATGCGTCGACTGGCATTAAAAGACGCTCACAAATGCACGAAAAACTGTCCAAAAACATTTTCGAACGCGGAGCCGATGTTTTCACATCCACACGAGACGGCGTCCCCCTGGTGGTCCCTAGCTGTGGACGATTCTGTTAAATGGCGGTCAGCCCAATACTGACTTCCTTCGCTTGCCTTTTGCGGACTCCTGTTGAGCGACAAACGCTACTGCGACCAACGCCCACAAGCTTTGCAAATGGTATTCTAATTCTCGACTATTTGATTGAGCCTTTTGTGTCTCAAATAAATCTTGCCTTGTGTTGAACCTGTGCTTTTATTGTTCTGGCGTGAGAATCCCGACTTGTGGCCACTTCGTTTTCTTTTTCGCTTTGTACGTTTTCATGGAAAGTTTTCCCCGCGTAATTCTCTACCCCTCCCCCGACTTAGCATCGGTTTTCCGCCAAAAAAAAGTGCGAGGATTATGCCATTAAATACGGTAACTTTCAGCTCCGCAGTCCTTATCCACTCCATATGCATGCACTTGAAATGGTTTATTTAGGCACACATCAAGCGGCTTCAATTGGGATTTCTTCCCGGTGTGACGACGAGCTCAGCGTGGAAGTGACACTGCTGTCACTTTACGGAAGTGACATTGAAGTGCATCGAGCATAAGTAGGCTTGTGCGAATATTCGAACGCTTTGTATATTTGAACGAATAGTTAAGTATTTGAAATTAAGTTATCAAACATTTTCGAAGTATTCGCAATAAACAAATAAATGTAAATTAATTTGCTTGTAAAAGTTGTTTGACTGCAATGTAGGAGTGCTAAGCCATGAAAGCATCTGTTTAGAAAAAATCCGCTTTACCGTGACGCCTCTTTTCAAATTTAAAGGGGCTCTGCAACACCTACTGAGCATGGTCAGAAAACGCTGCCGATCGGTAGTCGAGGCTACCGAGAACACGCGAGGCAAATAATAAAGCGCAGCACATGGCATGTAATTCACAATAAATTTTCAAAGCTAAAAATTGCATCCTTTCCTTGGCAAATGACACCACAAGCTGAACTTGTCACAGCCAAGAGAAAATATACAACTCTGGTCTCAGCCATTGACTGGTTTGAGCATGGCGCGCTCGTCGTTACCGGGGCTGCCGCGGGAGGCCACCGCTTGTCCACGAGTATGTGCGCGATCGCAATAAAAATCCGCATATTCGAAAAAAAAAAAAAGACATGCTCAAGGTCACGAGGTGCGTGTGACCTGTTTTCTTTCGCCGTGCTAATCCTCTTTGCATTGCTTCCAGCTATTTCGTCGGGACAAGAAGAGAGAATGCAATTGCAGCATGCAACAAATTTTTGGAACTCCGCTCGTACTAGACTGATTCTAAAAACTTTGCGGTGGTAAATTTGTGAGGCAGCAGGCATGTTTACTAGCTCCATGGCTACTTGAAAAAGTGCTGCAGGGCCCCTTTAAAGGAACATGTTACTTTCAAATCAATTCTTTTTATTAAGCTTGTTATAACGGCTTATATGCTCCAAGTATAATAAATTTTAAGACATTAAGTATCTTCAAAGTTACCATTCCCATACAACCGAAACTACTACTCAAGGTTATTTTGACTTCCTTTGAACGAAAAAAAAATTGGAATGGAATAGGGGCTCTATACAAATGCCAAAGAAATATTGTGCAAGTTAGTTAGGTCATGATAAATATTTCCACTTTTTTTATATGTCATATATACAATTCGAATTCTATTCGAAATTATTCTATCAAAATCAATATTCGCTTCGAGTCTAAAATGCACTATTCGCACAAGCCTAAGCTTATGTATTGATGAGAGCCCCAGCAGTGTTTCATTGCTCTCACACCAAGTCCGTCTATCCTCGTTCTGCAACAGAAAACGCTCCATTTTGTGGCCCCTGGAAGCTTTTCAGGCCGCAGACATCAAGGAGGGCTTTCTTCTGTATCCCTCAGCTGCAAATGCTTTGCTAGTCTACGCAGCAAAGTTGCCTATGGTTTTGGCTGCTGTGATCATCTTTCTTTTCAAGGCAGCCAAATACTGCTTTTGGGGTCCTCACATAGTGTGGAATCATGGCTGTTGAAAAGTAAGAGTAATGCTAGTGTTATCCTAACGCAAAGACCTGACGGTGATAATAGTGCTGCGCAATGCCAAAACCAAAACTGAATTTTCGTTTGAGAATATTTGAAGTCCGATCATAGTACCAGGCGGAAATTTCACGTAATAAAATTTAGGGAAAAAAAAACTCAGTATATGTAGGTTTTTACAATGTTAATGAACATTTTTGTTTAACTCCAATGGCAGAGTCTGAGCATCCAACGGCCTTCGTGAGCAAGTGCTCAACTCTGTCCTGCTCAGCTTTGAGGGGTTGAAGAGTATAATCATATTAGGAAGTTCTTTTATGCCACTGAATAATGCATAGCCTTTCTGAGACTGCATGGCAGCTCTGAGTCATCCGATTTTCCAAAATAGTAGAAGTCACATCACATACTACTTTACTTCAGCGTTTACTTTTAATTTCAGTCCTGCATGGAGACCTTGCATAGACAACCCATGGTCATGTTGCACAGTCATCAGTCTTTACATTTGCAAGGTTTTATGGGAACATTGTATCCTCTATTTGAAAGTGCATCGCAAAGCCAACACTTTTCTTAGTGGCCGCACTGTTCGACTTGCTGCAACTTCTCACGAATTCTGTATGCAGGTGACACAGATGCTCGCATTATGCGTGTTGGACACATTGGTCTCGCTGGATGCCAGTTCCTGGCTGGAGCATCTGCAACGAGACGGATACCTGCCGCAGCTGGTCTTGCCCAGTCCCGCCGGGCGGCCTCACCTTCGTGAGGCTCGACTGGCACTTCTCGTGCGCATCGCGTCTTCGGGTGGTGCCCGCACACTCCTCGAGGCTGGCCTCGACTCGCTGCTTTCGGCTCCCGATTTTCTCCAAGGTGACAGGCAACCTGGGATGGAGAGCAGCAGCAGTAAGGCGGCACTGCGACTGCTTCTGGCTCTGTCAGCCACTATGGGGACTCAGTGGGGTGCACCGTTGCTGGTCACACACAGCCAGCCCTTGGCCGAACTGCTAGCGCGGAAGGATCCATTGGCTGCGCAACTAATGGCACGTTTGGGGCAGCCTCCGCCCGTCCTGCTGCGCCAACAGGCGCTCACGCTTCTGGCGACAACGACGGACGAACCGTCCCTGGCCGTGCCGCTACTTGCGGTGGCATGCGCTTGCGGGGAAGACGAACCTCACCCGGACGAGGCCCTGCTTTCGCGCTTGATACGACGATGGGCTGGCAGCAACAAAAAGGCACACACGGAGTTACTCGAACGTACGGTCTACTTGCTGTGGCGAGGACACCGCAAAAGCCCCTTGGGACCAGACGCACGTGCTGCCCTTACTGATTGCGCCGAGCAGTTGAATGCACAATCCAAATTCTGCCAAGCCTTGGTGCGCCGATTGCAAAGGATGGCGCTAAGTGTTCCACCTACCTGAGGCTTTATTCGGGAGTCTTTAGTGTTGTATAACATGTCGCAGGGTCATAAAAGCCCACTCTCTTGCATTGATAGTTCTATTGCTTACGCAGGCACTCATTTGTATAAATTTTATTGGTAGTGATGAGCGAGATTCTGGTTTTTCACCAAATAAATTGAACTCATCGTTTAATTATCTAGTATGAACATGTATTGCTGTGAAATTGATACAGTTAAGACACTTGATTTGAAAAATTTAGATGATATTCCTGAACAAAAATATGGTGCCACCACTTGGTGTGTCATGCAGTCACCCTTGCATTATCAGTTGGCTTTTATCTAGGCCATGCTTTTTTCTACGTTTCCCAAATGATAGCATACACATCTATTCTCTCATCTTCCAAACAATGCCTGGGCACGGTTCGGAAAATGTTTGAACCAGGTGAGTCACTCCTAAATGCCTACCATTTTTTTTTCCTTCATGTTGGTACTGAAATCTTGATTACATGCTGCAGCATGTGACGTAGTCTGTACCGTGTGGATGGCAGTTTGAGTTATTCGTGAAATGATGCTGCACCCAACTAAACATGGTGCGAGGAAAGGCGCAATGCAGAAAGCTGAAATGGCTCACTAGGCAGTCTTTGTGGTGCAAGACATGTTTCATGAGGTTGAGTCACTGGCTTAATATATCCTTTTGTATAACACCCTGACTACGCACTGAATTTAATACGCGTGTCACACAGGTGTTTGAAAGGCCATTGAACCGATGGTCTATTGACTCAACTGATAAGCACAAGCTGCCACACATGCTGTTTCAAAGACCACTTAGAGTCGTCGGAGCACCCCACGACTCCACAGTAACTTCGATGGAAGCTGAAACAGGGCGAACGTGTCCTCTCGTTCATTGTACTCATACACACAATTAGAAAAAAGGAATCCAATCAGGATACTTTAAAAGCAGTACTCTCAAACCTCGAAATAAAATTCTGATATAATGAATTATTGGTTATAACAAAGTAGTAGTTAACAAATAGCTTTGCATAGATACAGTGTTACAAATAATAATGCATTTTTAGATACAACGAAGTATTTTTGTGGCAGTTGTGACTTGCTGTTATTGCTCGCCACAGCTTTGCTCTTGAATAAATCAAACCTAAATATGCATTCATAACTATAAATGAACCCTGATACTGAGGGGAACAGCGCAAAAAACGGGATGGAGAAAGATTGAACACACGACGCAAGCGCTGTTCGTCAGCGCTTGTGTCGTGTGTTCAATCTTTCTCCGTCCCATTTTTTGCGCTGTTCCCCTCAGTATCATGTACCAACTGGCCCTTCAAGAATCCCTTCTGCAATTTATAAATAAACAGTTCATTAAAATACCTGAAAATCGGCAGACATATTTGAGTTTTTAAGTGAACTTAAATTAACTTGAGGAGAATGAATACCAATACACATAAGGATCCGTAGCGCCATAAAGTTTGCGAGAAATGCCTGAACCACTTGACGGCCATTCAAAACTGATGTGTAGCAGCGTGACAACTCCATCGAGATGATAGACTAGTGGCATTTTGGTGGCTATTGACGGTATGGCCATGTTTTGAGATGAGCTGTGCCTCCTTTATTGTTTTCTCACTTTATTTGGGTTTTCATCATTAATAATGTCACAATAAGGCACATCTGTAACCTTTGACGCTAGTGCAAATTGTGGTGAGGGCAGTCATAGATGGTCTAAAACAGTCCGCCACTGGAAAGGAGACATTGGCGAAACACATTCAGCTCAGTTAAACTGTTAACTTCATCACCACACAAATTCTACAGGGCTATAGTGACCCAATGGACTCGTGGAACTGGTTCTGTGTAAACAAGAATTGAACATCGAAGGGAACTTGCTAAGAAGAAGGAAATGTGTCCGTCGCCAAATAGTCCTTTCTGCAACTTCGGTTTGCATTAGATTTAGGGGACTGTTGAGCATACCTTAGGAAACGAAATTCTCAAGATCACCACCACCGGAGGATCCATCACCTGATACTTCAAGTAGGTTTACCGTTATGATAATGGTGAATGTACTGAGCAAGGTATGTGGCGATGTACAGGAATCAAAGTTAAGCTTAGCACTGCAGGTGGCTGCCCAGTGCATCTGGCTGCCACCAACCCCACTGTAAGTTTCATCTGAACATCGATGGGGACCTTAGGCATACGTAAAGTATGTGTCACAACAGTGGTGTATATGGAGGAAGGAAACGTGGCATTGAAGCGAACATGTTCGTGTTGCTCTGCGCAACTGGACTCGTTATTGCTGAGGTAACATATGGCACACCACTTGTGGTCTTGAACCAACGGCACAGATGATACTCCATTTTCTTGCGATATATTTTTATATGGTTTTAAAGCTGCAGCTGTATGTTTAAGGTATGTATTCAATCCCTCAAAATTCAAACCACTGTCCGATGGCAGCAGTTGTAGTCTCCCCGATACTTATGTATCGACAAGCGTTTCACGAGACTTAGATTATGAATTCGCCTACTCTCGCCTGGGACATCGGACGCCCAACCCGCCCGAATATTGGTGCATACTGTGTGGAACTTAACATTCCATTCTAACTAAAGGATAAGCCATTGTGAAAACTCGATGTGCGTGCTAGCCGAGATTAGGGAAATGTAGACTTCACGGCGCACTTCACGGAGGGATACCGTAATCGAACCAGGTACTCGTGTACCAAACTGGTAGCACCTTCGACAAATCGCGCTGGTGCGATTTGATATGAAATACTTATTTTCTTTGGTCAAAGCGGTTGTGTATTCAAATCTGGCGCAATAGTCTCTCGCTCGTGACGTTATTTGCACTCGGACCAAACTGAAACCACTTTTTTTTATGCTGAAACCACGGAGTGGCTGAAACAGACCAAATGCTACACGCACGCCTCTGTTGCCTCTGCGGCGACGCGGGCGACGTCAGCGGGCGCAAGCGCGCGATGGTAGCGATGAGCTGAGAAGTTCTCCCGTGAAATGTCTAGCACGTAACCAGTGCTAGCTTGTCCTCTATTGTTCTTAAAACTCAGAGCAACAAGGAACCCTCTCTGGAGCGCCGCGTGCGACAGTCCCTCTCGGTAAAAACAAAAATGCGCGGAAATCGACGTTTTCGCCTGCATGCGCCCGCGTACTACTGTCCTACGGCCACACCTTCTGAATCCAACTGACATACTCAAGTATGTGGCGCCAGTGCGAATCGATGCTGGCGGGCAGAGGGTGCGAAACGCAAAACAGCGATCTGCCGACAGGGAGAGCATTCTTGTTTTTGGTACCCATGGCAGCGATTGTAGGCATCAAACACTAGCTTGACAAGGCGCAAATGGCGACCCGCGAGTGGAAACTCCGGCAAACGGTGGAGTCGCATGCCGGCGACGTGACGGGCTGCGACTTCTCGGGCACCACTTTGGCCACCTGCTCGAATGACAAGACGGTGCGACTTTGGCTTTTCGAGGCGGGCTCCTTCACGGAGTCGTCCGCATCCCCTCTGGTCGGCCACAAATACGGCGTTAACGCGGTGCAGTTCTCGCCGCTGGGCACGGCACTCGCGTCGTGCTCCATCGATGGGAGCGTGTTCATATGGAATGTTCAGGTGAGTGCGTTGCATGGGTTCTTGACCTGGGTTTCATCGTTTCGTGGTGTTTGACTTATCGCGCATGCTTGCCGTCCCGTTGAAACATTTTCAGCAAATACATAACACAGAACCGAACAGATAAGACGACGGGACGATCGAGCGCGAACTTTGTACAAACCTGAAACTACAAAATAGAAGTACAGACTCAGAAAGGAAGAAAAGTGCCATGCGTGACCTGAAGTTCTTTCTTTGATTATTCTACTTGCGGCATACTCGCGCCCTGTCAGCTGCTCGAGCTCTTTCGCGCACTTCAGCGATCTCCCTTGTTGAACTGCTCCCATGGCGATACATAACAATAGTCTGTTCAGAAAGTGGATGACAATAAGGAAATTCACTACATGGTTTACAACATATTTCCCTAGCCTAGATAATCCTAAGGTATTGACTTACATTAACCGCAGGCTTTTCTGCCAATCCCCCTTAGTGGGTAAGAGCCACAAGGAAGGATCAAGCAAGCAAACATGGGCTAATAGTTCTCTGTCTTCTGCCGTTGTTGTTCGTTATGCGTGGAACGGCAACCTTGACAACTGATGGTCGATGTGAACTAGTGTAAATACTTCAGTGTCACACGGATATAGTCAAAGCAAGAAAATTTCGGGGGTGTCAGAACCCCCTGAATTCCCCATAGTTACGGCCCTGATCTTACAAACTACATCCGTTCTTCAAAAAATGCAGGCTGATCTGGGGAAGTGTCTCTCATTTTCTCTGTAACCTGTATTTTTCATTCTTTCAATTTTCAGATACTGTGCTAAAATATGTGCAGAATATGCGATGAAGGCTTGTCAACAGTCAGCACTCGTCCTATCATCTTGTCTTGTGTTTCGTTTTGCACTATGCATTTCACCTAAGTGATAACTAACCAACACGGTTTAACTTCATCTCTTCCATTTAAACATGCAGAGCGGCGAAGTGCTGGGCCAGCTACAGCATCCAAGCGAAGCGGCCTTGCGCTGCTGCAGCTTTTCCCCATCGGGTGCATTGCTGGCCACCGGAGGAGATGACGAGACGCTGGTGTTGTGGGACTGTGGCCACACGCTCGCTCGTACGATCTCTTGGAGGCCACGGCGCTCTGGTTACCTGCATGCAGCTTTTCCCCCGATGGTGCGCTGCTGGCTTCCTGCGTCGTCCGCTGGAGACCTGCGCATCTGGGATGCGCGCTACTGGTCATGGCAGCTGCCTGCTGACGCGATCTGAGGCCCACTGACCTGGGTGCCACTGGCTGCCACTTTAGCCCTCAGTTCGAGGCCAGTCTTGCACAGGGCACGCTCGAGAGCAGCTACCTGCTTGCGTCCTGTGGCAACGATGACCTCGTGCGCGTGTGGCAGGTGCGCATGGCGCACCGCTGCAGCCTCTGGTCCCAGTGGGTCTTCGAGGGCCACTCGGGAAATGTTATGTGCTGCCGTTTTGCACCTGGCGGTCAAATGCTAGCCTCCAGGTGCGTAATGGGCTCTGTGTGTGCTCATGTTGTGTGCTGCTGTTGCATGTTTACAGTTCTCGCTTTTGTATGCAGTGCTGGTGACAAGACCACCATACTCTGGGATGTGGTAAGCTGGCGGAACAAATGGCTTATCTACGCTGTGTACATACCCTCAATACAAGCTTAAACATGCATCACTCCGCTAACTGCACTTTTGGAAATGCATAAATGTGTAGGCAAATATACTTATCTTTTGTATACACCAGACAGATAAATAGCCCTTTATTCATAGCAAGGAGCTAAGCACAGCCAACAGGAGGAAGCTCCTAGGCATTAGGGACAAGCAGTACAATTCCACAGTCACAATAACCATGTCAACAAGTGACAGTGACAGCCATCTCTTAAGGTGCAAGGCAACATTAGCGTACTTTCAATTTATACCTTGTTGTCGCTCATATCTGAAAACTGTGGTTTTGAAAAGTTCTTTGGTGGCCTAATGGTGTGTCTGCTAAGCACAATAATGCCACTTCGATTCACAGCTATGGCGGGCACATTTTGCTGAAGACAAAAAGCAATTATAATGATGAGCTTAGATTTAGGTTCACATTAAAGAACCCCAGCTTGTCAATAGTAAGCCAGAGTTTGTCATCGTGCCACGACCATAAATGTTTAATGGTTCAGGATCATAAAACCACAAAATGTAAATAAACACCTCTTGTCACGAAGCATCACTCCAGCCAAAGAACATGTGCTAGACAGTGCACATGCACGCTTCACTGTCTTATTCTGTTTTTATTTTGCATTGTAAATCTTCTGGTCAGACAGTGTGGCCTCTATGTATGAACAAGCTCACCCTTCGGTGCTTTTATCTGCAGGGCACTGGAGAGCAGCTGCAGCGGCTTACCAAGCATACTCGCTACGTGCCCTGCTGTGCCTTCTCAAGTGATGGCGAGTTCCTTGGCCACGGGCTCTAATGATCGTACCGTGGTTATTTGGACACAAGTTGAGGGCACGACGGTAAGTGTTTCTGCATGCCGCCAGGTAGACTTGGTAGATGGGCGAAGTTCGCCTTTGTTAACTTGAAAATTATGATCAACTTTATGGTAGCAGGTCAGCATGCTTTCAAAGAAGCTAACGATTTCTAATTTGTATGGTACTTTTATAGGCTTTTGCAAGAAAGCTTACGTAGCTCTTTTTTTCGAGGCAGATTGGTTTGCTGAAATGGAGCTCAGGAATAGTGATTAGACCAGTGCTCATGGATGATGTGTGTGCTGAGATACATGTTGCAAAAAGGATTGAAACAAAATAAAGGTTCACGTAAATATGGACGCTAGCAGTGTAGTGGTCGAACCGAGGCAATGTCGGACTGGAACCCCCAACTTGAGTATTTACCTTTATAAGCTTCTTGTACTGTGTCCTTAAGTTATTCTTGTGTGCCGTTGGAAATGGTGAGCCTTAGCTGCTTAAATGCTGCCTAGGAAAGCAGTTGTCTCTGCATACACAAGCACCTTCTTTATCAACCACTGTTGATGGTGACAAGGTAGCATCTCTGGTATTGTACTTGCAGTCATACATTTTCTCAAGGTGCATCGCTGCCACTGTTGCAGTCCCCGCCCCTTGCCATGTGTGCCTAGCTTGCACAAAAATTCAAAAGGGTCATTAGGAATGCAACGTAGGTCATTAGGGATGCAAGTACAGACGCATCTCGATAATTTGAGCTCCAAGGGGCTCGAAAATTCGTTCTAAATATAAGAAGTTAGAATTAATGAAAGCTTATTGAACAGAGGGCTCACCATGCAGTGGCACATGTGCATTGAGCTAACACATGAGTGGAAAGCTTCAGAAGACTTACATTTATTCAGAAATTACAGGACATTCGTCATTAAAAAAGTAATTGGTGCTGTGCATCTGCTCACGTTTGCCTTGCAGTGAATCAATCAACATTGAAAAGCGTTTCAACTTTGGCTACAGCATTCAGCTGGCAAGAGAAGTAGTGTGCAGTTTTCTGGCGTGGCTAAGTCCAGGGCCATTACACTCTCAAGACGACTGCGTTATGACAGCCACCCTCTGCGGTGCAGCCGCGGTGTGGCCAGCGCATGACGAGAAAGGAGGAGCGTCTCAACGCGGAAAGAAGTAGATCGGCATTTGAGAGAGAACCAACACTCCACTATAGCTTTTTTCTCTTTTTTTGCTCTCTTCGCACCCGATGTTATAAGGACAAGGGTCTCCACGTGGCAGGAACGGGAAAGGAGGAAGCGTGGCACCGGCGTGTTGCAGATCGGCATTATAGAGAAAGCCAACACACTGCGACAGCTTTCTTCTTTTTTTTTTCTCTCTCTCCGCGCGCAGCGTTGAAAGGAGAAGGGTCTCTACATGGCAGGGACGTAAAAAGGAGAAGCGTGGCACAGGCGCGTTGCAGATTGACATTTGAGAAAGAGCAAACATTCCGCCATAGCCTTTTCTTTTCTTTTTCTTCTTTTCCTTCTTTGTGCACAGCGTTGAAGTATCAGAGGTGCCGCTGTGGGATTAGGCGTGGTGTTGAGAGCAGTTCCAGAGCGCGGTATGTTAGAATCAACCGTCGCAAGTGCTTGCACGTTCGAATTACAGGGCGTTTTCGCCCAGTTGAATACACATAACTTTGGCAGGACCACAGCATGAGTTAGAATTTACCGTGTTTGAGTTAATGAGGTTCGACTGTGTTAGGGATGCACCATCATAGTTATGCTTGAAGACACAAGTTTGACTACAAGCCATGGAGGCCTAATTTCAGTGGGTACAGAATGTAAGAGCACCTAAGCATACTTAGATTTGGGTGCAGATTAAGAAACTTTTGGTGGCAGAATTGAATCGGGACTCCTCTTTATTACCATGTAAATTTCGGCAAGTAAAACCTTGAAATTCAATTTTTATTGAATTTATTGAATTTTTATTGAATTACCCTCTACTGTTGGCAAGGCGTGAGAGTGATGTGCACACATGCACACTCTAAGTATGCTAGCATTTCTTCTGATCGCACTATGTATGACTTGGTCTCAAAAGTCAAGTTAATATTAACTATATCTTCTTTAGGTGTTGACTAGAGGCGGTCTTTCAATCCCTGTTGGCATGAAGTCAACAGACTGAAAACTCGGGAAGAGCATAGGGGGCAATTAGCTTTTTCTTTTACAGAAAGATGGAGGTAACAAGGAAAAGTAAATGAAAGTGGACGAAAAGACAATTTGTCGAATTCGGAGGTGAACCTTCTTATTGAGAACAATGCCTCTTTTGCATTCTCAGCAGGAGGAAGGTCAGGGTGAGAAACCAAAGCCCCTGTCCCCACAGCAGCCACCGGTTCCCAAGGAGGGCGTCGGGGTGGCCGCGGTGGGCCGCTGGTCGGTGAACCAGGTGGGCGAATGGCTGGAGGGCCTGGGCCTTGGGCAGCACCGGGCCACCTTTGAAGAGCACGCCATCGATGGCCAGGAGCTGCTGCACCTGACCCACGAGGGGCTGAGCAATGCCCTGCATGTGGACGCCCTGGGCACCCGTGCTCGCCTGCTGCGCGAGGTGCAGGCCTTGAAGCACCCCCTGTGGCGGCACTTGCCTCCAGCCGGGGAGGACGACGCCGCCCTTCCCGAGGAGCTCTTCTGCCCCATCACCCAGGAGCCCATGCGCGATCCTGTTGTGGCCGCAGGTGAGTGCTTGGGAAGTGTTTGCTCATTTGTGAACTGTGGAAAGCAGTTCATCTGATGATGACAATAATTGTAGGGGTTTTAAGTCTCGAAACCACAATGTAATTGTGAGGGACGCCATAGTGAAGGGCTCCAAAACTTTCCACTACTTGGGATTCTTTAGTGTGCAACTGAATTCAAGTACATGGGCTTCTGGCGTTTTGTCTCCATCGAATGGCCGCTGCAACAGGAATTCGACCCTGTGCCCTTTGGGGGAGCAGTTGGGCACCATGGCTGCTAGACCACCATGTCATGTTTGAGACGGGTGCCATCAGCCGACACAGGTGCCATCAGCAATCGGTTGTTCGCAAATGGTCTCTTTCCCACCTATCCGATGTAAGAAGGTATAACATGGAGAGAATTGAACATGCTCTGAAAAACGGAGGAAGCGTCAAAGCAGTGAAGAGGAAACTTGGGATAGGCAAAAATCGGATGTATGCACTAAGGGAAAAAGAAGGCAAAATAACTACCAATATGGATAGGATAGTCAAAATAGTGGAGGAGTTTTACAGAGATCTGTACAGTAGCTGGGACAACCACGACTTTAATGCTATAAGAACTAGCAGTAACCCAGATGACACCCCACCAATAATGATAGAAGAAGTCAGAAAAGCTTTGTAGAGCATGCAAAGAGGCAAAGCTGCTGGTGAGGATCAGGTAACATCAGATCTGCTGAAAAATGGAGGACAGATTGTGTTAGAAAAACTAGCCACCCTGTTTACGAGGTGTTTCCTGACAGAAAGAGTACCAGAGTCTTGGAAGAATGCTAACATCATCTTAATACATAAGAAAGGAGATGACAAAAACTTGAAGAACTACAGGCCGATCAGCTTGCTCTCTGTAGTATACAAGCTATATACAAAGGTAATTGCTAACAGAGTAAAGAAAACATTAGAATTCAATCAACCAAAGGAACAAGCAGGATTTCGAACAGGCTACTCAACAATCGACCACATTCAATCAGGTAATAGAGAAATGCTCAGAATATAACCAACCACTATACGTAGCCTTCATACATTACGAGAAGGCGTTTAATTCAGTAGAAATATCAGCCGTCATGCAGACACTGCGGAATCAGTGCGTCGATGAAATATATATAAACATCCTGGAAGAAATCTACAGAGGATCAACTGCTACCATAGCGCTTCATAAAGAAAGCAACAGAATACCAATCAAGAAGGGTGTAAGGCAGGGGGACACAATATTCCCAATGCTATTTACCGCGTGCTTACAGGAGGTTTTCAGAAGCCTAGAATGGGAACAGTTAAGGATAAGGGTTAATGGAGAGTACCTCAGTAACCTGTGCATCGTCGATGACATTGCATTGCTGAGTAACTCAGGGGACGAATTGCAACTCATGATTACGGAGTTAGACAAGGAGAGCAGAAAGGTGGGTCTTAAAATGAATCTGCAGAAAACGAAAGTAATGTACAACAACCTCGGAAAAGAGCAGCGCTTCGAGATAGGTAATAGTGCACTTCAAGTTGTAAAAGACTATGTCTACTTAGGGCAGGTAATAACTGCGGAGCCGAACCACGAGATTGAAGTAACTAGAAGAATAAGAATGGGGGTGGAGCACATTCGGCAAGCACTCTCAAATTATGACAGCTAGATTGCCGCTATCCCTCAAGAGGAAGGTATATAACAGCTGTATCTTGCCGGTACTTAGCTACGGAGCAGAAACCTGGAGACTTACAAAGTGGGTTCAGCTTAAATTGAGGGCGACGCAGCGAGCAATGGAAAGAAAAATTGTAGAAGTAACCTTAAGAGACAAGAAGAGAGCAGAGTGGATTAGGGGACAAACGGGGGTTAAGGATATCATAGTTGAAATAAAGAAGAGGAAATGGACATGGGTCGGGCATGTAGCGCGTAGACAGGATAACCGCTAGTCGTTAAGGGTAACTAACTGGATTCCCAGAGAAGGCAAGCGGGTTAGGGGGAGACAGAAGGTTAGGTGGGCAGATGAGATTAAGAAGTTTGCGGGTACAAATTGGCAGCAGCAAGCACAGGACCGGGTTAACTGGCGGAACATGGGAGAGGCGTTTGTCCAGCAGTGGACGTAGTCAGGCTGATGATGATGATGATGAACTTTGACAGGACCACAGCATGAGTTTCGAATTAACTGTGTTTGAATTAATGAGATTCGACTGTGCTATGGATGGAATTGAGGACACAATTTTGACTACAAGCCATGGAGACCTAATTTCAGTGGGGACAGAATGCAAGAATACCTAAGCATACTTAGATTTGGGTGCAGATTAAGAAACCCCTGGTTGCAGAATTGAATCGGGACTCCTCTATATTATCATATAAATTTTGGCAAGTAAAACCCCGAAATGCTTTTTTTATTTTTGCAATTATCGTGGTAGCTAAATAATGGCACTGCATTACCCTCTACTGTTGGCTTGGCATGAGAGTGATGTGCACACATGCACACTATAAGTATGCTAGCATTCCTTCTGATCGCACTATGTATGACTTGGTCTCAAGTCAAGTTAATATTAACTATATCTTTTTTAGGTGCTGACTAGAGGTGGAAGTGTTTGCTCGAAGTCAACAGACTGAAAACTCAGGAATTGCATAGGAGGCAATTAGCTTTTTCTTTTACAGAGAGATAGAGGTAACAAGAAAACGGAAATGAAAGTGGACAAAAAGACAACTTGTCGAGTTTGGAGGTGAACCTTTTTATCGAGAACAATGCCTCATTTGCATTCTCAGCAGGAGGAAGGTCAGGGCGAGAAACCAAAGCCCCTGTCCCCACAGCAGCCACCGGTTCCCAAGGAGGGCGTCGGGGTGGCCGCAGTGGGCCGCTGGTCGGTGAACCAGGTGGGCGAATGGCTGGAGGGCCTGGGCCTTGGGCAGCACCGGGCCACCTTTGAAGAGCACGCCATCGATGGCCAGGAGCTGCTGCACCTGACCCACGAGGGGCTGAGCAATGCCCTGCATGTGGACGCCCTGGGCACCCGTGCTCGCCTGCTGCGCGAGGTGCAGGCCTTGAAGCACCCCCTGTGGCGGCACTTGCCTCCAGCCGGGGAGGACGATGCCGCCCTTCCCGAGGAGCTCTTCTGCCCCATCACCCAGGAGCCCATGCGCGATCCTGTTGTGGCCGCAGGTGAGTGCTTGGGAAGTGTTTGCTAGTTTGTGAACTGTGGAAAGCAGGTCATCCGATGATGACAATAATTGTTGGGGTTTTAAGTCTCGAAACCACAATGTAATTGTGAGGGACGCCATAGTGAAGGGCTCCAAAACTTTCCACTACTTGGGATTCTTTAGTGTGCAACTGAATTCAAGTACATGGGCTTCTGGCGTTTTGTCTCCATCGAATGGCCGCTGCAACAGGAATTCGACCTTGTGCCCTTGGGGGAGCAGTTGGGCACCATGGCTGCTAGACCACCATGTCATGTTTGAGACGGGTGCCATCAGCCGACACAGGTGCCATCAGCAATCGGTTGTTCGCAAATGGTCTCTTTCCCACCTACTGACAGAGCCAAGTGCCGCTTAGCTGCTGTGGTCAAACGAGAACCGACCTAATCAATGAGCTTCTTCGATTTACCAAGTCGCGGACCAGTCACTGGCACCTCAGCTCATAGGTGACAACGTCACATTACACGTGATTCAAGAGTCCCGAGCCAGCTCGAGCTATCCGAGCAGCTTCGAGCCATCTGCACTCTACATTCTGGCCGTGTCCGCTCTGGCGCATGCTACGCCATTTTTTTTATTCATGGCTGTGGCACCGGTCACGACGCTGACCCAATGGGTGACCAGTAAAAGAGCGAGGGATTGTGGGATACAGTCGCCGACCGATTTTCCGGACTCCAAAAATTCGGACTTGTTGGATATTCCGGACTTCATAAATGCACCGTCAGGGATCCCATAGAGCTAATGCATTGTTTCGACCGATTTTTCGGGCGAATTTGCCCCTGAAAGTTCGATTTTTCGGACTGAATCGCTCGTTTTGTGCCACGCTCCAAACCATTGTGAACGCCGCCATGTTGGATTTTCCGTCGGCTTGGCTAAGCTTGGTCTTCAGATGCTTTTCCTGCCTTCGAGATTAGAATGCGCACGCCATATTTTAAGTTTCGGAGGCCGTGTTTGCTTTTTAAAAGACGCGGTGATGGATGTCGTTTTTTCGTCTTCGGTCAGCACTATCGTCATCACATCGCACAGGGAGGAGGCGAAAGAAGGATTCTTTTATTGTCGTTGCAGCTTTTTTCAGTCGCCATTCTGCACGTGTTGTGTCGTGTAGCGTCGAGACGTTGTGTGCTGCGCAGCGGCTATCTGCGGCATTGAATTTTGTGTTCTCGGTGCCATGGCTCCGCTATCTGTGCCATCGCGGGAGCCAGGTGGTGTGAAGAAGCGTGGGAAGTATACGACCCTGACGATGGAGAAGAAAGCTGCCATAATCAAGCTAATAGAGAATGGACGTTCGCAGCTAGATGTAGCTGGATGACGGTCGACGCCGGATGGCGGTTATCGTTGTCGTCGGATGACAACGACGACCGCCCGCAGCCGTCGGAGATCTCCAACGCGGTGACAATTTTGTCGAGCGTTTACAGCGACGATGTCACCTTGGCGCAAATACGGGCAAACCAAATTGCCTCCAAGCGTAGTTTGAGGCAAGGCAGCATCAAGGACTTTTTTAAACCTGCCTGATGCAATAAACTTCAGATTTTTGGCAAAGACGAATTTTTCGGACTGTTCGATTTTTCGTACTTTTTTTCGGTCCCCGCCAGGTCCGAAAAATCGGTCGGCGACTGTACACCGTCTGCTGCCATCTTCCGGTTCGAGAAGAGTAGACGATGGTGAACCGCTCCACCGCAGGCCTCAGATTATTCAGGATTCACACGTGCGGTCGCCTGTTTATCTTCCTTCTGATACACTATGTTTGGTTGTTCAGCCGTTGGCTAATTCAGTTTGAGCGTGAAAGGCAACTGCAGGTATCGATTTCCATGAAGTGAAAAAAAAAAGATTAGGTGGGCCACGGCTGTGAAGAGAGCCACAGCGACGGGTAGCCTTTCAGTACCGAACATTGAAGCCAGAGTGTGCGAAGACCATTTTATCATAGGTACGTGTGTATTCTGCATTAATAAAAAGCTTGCACATGAATTTGCTGTGAATATTATATCGAGGAATAACTTGTTGCACAGGTGCGCCCAGCAAAGATATTGTTACGTGGAAATGACAGTAGACAGTCCGCAGACACAACACATATCACCAACAACGTCAACCTCTTCACTTTCCTTCTCAGGCGCCCTTTTCGGGTATGTCCCACTATTCCCTGTTACCGTCAGCCGAAACTTTGTAAAAATATTGGGAACGCGCGGCCCAAATCTACCTGCCATACGAGATGAGCGCCGACCATTGCACCCATATATATGACAAAAAACACGAAAGCTTCACTCAAGAGTAAGTTTACACGAAGCACTGGACGAGTCCATTTGCGTTTATCTTGGTCAAACTGAGCGGCAGGACGGCACACAAAGGAACAGGTGCATTGAACAAGCGCCGCATTTCGATTATTCGGCGCCGCCTATGTCTGTTTGTATTGTTTAGGTGCCGCCGTGCCGCGCTGCTTGACCAAGACCAGCATTCAAATAAGCAACTGGCTTCGACTAAGAAATGCAACTTATAGCGCGCTGAAGGCTTGAAAAAAAAAAGATATCTCAACGCGCTCAATAAGTGCTGCGCTTTATGCCGATTAACCGACAATGTCGGCCGAAGCAGCGATCCCGAAACAAATTCTTAGCACACTGCTACAGTCATCTCATCCCCTGAGATCTTCAAAATGGTGATTTTTTATGTACAGTAACGTATCTTACAATGAAAAGTCTTCTGTATCGACTGGTCTGCTAGCCAAGCTGACAGTACCCCCGAGCAGCATAAAAGCATTGCAGATCATTTTAGTGCGATAAAGAAGTTTCCCTACCATTCATGACATTCGTAGCTTGTCATCGTCACAATCACGGTTAGCAAAAAAAACAAACAACAACTTCTAAGGCACTGACATTGCATCGAGAGGTGCTTTTTTAATGGAGTGGTACAAAAATGTGCGTGTGCCGCTACTAACCCATGTGGTCGTATTCCTTAAGCCGTCGTATCCCACAGTTTCCTGCGATTGCCCATACTACCGGTCACCTATTTCCACCTCAACAGTGGTTAGATCGTGAATTACTCTTATTTTCATTGAGCGCATGGGCGTTCCACCACCCTTTCACCTGGTGAAGATCTCGCGTGTTTGGCCGATCTTCAGTAGCAGGCCCGACGTGGCTCAGTACACGGACAACAAGAACTGGGTGTGCGAAAAATGCGAAATCTGGAAACGTGCAAGAAGTGAACACAAAAGCTATGAGACAGCAAGAGCGGTTGAAAATTTTCACTGTCTAACTTAAGATGGCCGCATCCGTGGTGCATTGTCATGCGCACTGCGCTGTCATCTGCCAGCTGCCAGCCCACTGGTCCCGGACAAGTAGGTAGACTTTTCGGTTGATCACAGAGAAAAATGAATGCGGCACCGGTGTCGGGGGCCATTCAGAGCCGTCCCGGACGTGTAAATTGAAAAAACTCAATGTGGTGTGGCTTAAAAATAAACAGAGAAAACTTATTTGAAACCTTCTTGAAGGGGAGCTTTCGAAGATATGCATAGTGTTACGTGACAGTGAGCGCGATGTTTCTTTTGTTGCAGTATGGTTGAAGATGATAAGTGCACTCGTATGTCTGTTGTCCTATTAATATTCTTTGTATCAATCTTTTTGTCTTCTCTTTTCATATCATATGTACTGTCATGCACAATGGAAAAAAAAAAAACTAATTATTACTTGCAGAGGCTGTTCTGCTCTGTAATGAATCGTTCACATTTCATTTGTCCATGCCTGTACAGTCGGCCAAAAGTTTAGCTATTGTGTGTAGCGGCCACTTTTTTGTCTATCAGCGCCATATTATGGCACATGGTTACAAAAAATTGCTTCGTGGACATTTGCTTTGTGAGCATACACTGGTCCTTAGTTCAGTCTTATGGCAAAGGTATTCAGAAAAAACTGCTATTCGTGCACAATAGCTAAAGATTTGGCAGACTGTGCCTGTCTGTGTTGTGTCTTAAGTTTCCTCTTGCGAGTAGTCAACCCAAACTGAGTCAGATATTTTTCTATCCTTTCTTGTAAAAAAATATTTGTATATTAGAAACAGTGGTTTTAAAAGAGTTGGTATTAAAACCAACTCTTTTGCGAGTGGGGGGACTAACTTACCTCACTCGATATATATATATATATATATATATATATATATATATATATATATATATATATATATATATATATATATATATATATATATATATCTCCAATATGAGACGGGGAATCTGACTATCTTGTTATCATGCCTCTTTGTCTCATCATGCTTTGGCCGTTAACATCTACAAATACTACGATAGTTTAATAAGTTTATCATGGATGTTGTCGGAATGGGGATGTACCAAGCGTTAATGAGGGTACATCTAGGTTGAGCGGTATAGCTGCCAAACACCGAAACATACATTCGTCTAGCTCTCCTTTATAAATGTACAATAAGCATTTAATTACCCCTGTAAAGGCGTGTTTTCCTTTCGTGTTACATGCCGATTCCTCTCACAGAGGGATCAAGCATGTTTTTTTTCGGGGAATGATTGCTGCTACATTATTTCATAAGTATCACACTTTCTTGCATATATTCAGGCATGCGTGTATTATAATTTGCTTTACTTGCTAATAGTCTGAATACTGTATCTGGAGCATGCAAATAATAATAATATTGATATGGTTATATTACTTTTGTGACCTTTTTATCAACTTCTCAACCTTTTTCTTTAAAAATGTATAATTTGTGGTGTTAGGGGGGTAATACATTGTTGACATTCATTGTATTTGTATCAAAATTTTTTGAAGGGCCCCAGGCACCTGCATAAATACACCAATACAAACGGTGTAAAAATTTTTCTTCGAAAGAAGAAAATGTTGGTGATTATAACGTTAAACTATCCCTCGTGGCTTCGTTTTGAAATAGTCGTTAGCTGTATATTGAACTGAATTGAGTTTATTGCGCAACAAGGTTGCGAGAAAACCAGGCAAAAAAGCTGCACAAAGCAGCTTATGGGAAACCTTGAGCGAATATTGGTGTAAACAGTCTCTGTCATGCACACAGCACCAGCTTGTTACGCGAGGCAACAAATGACGCGAAAATGGCTCATGGCGTAATGATCACTTATTCACGACCACGTAAAAAATAAGAGCATAAACTATTTTCAATACGGCATATTGTTTGCCATTGATTCTTCGGCATTTCAAATTTTCTGTGTGCCTCAAAATCGCCTGCTTGTTGTATGGCGTCACGAAGCCGGAGAGCGTCTTCTTCTAAATGTGATTCAAGTAGGCTAGCTGCCAATAACACAAGCAGCGTCTACAAGTAGCAGCTGGTGAGGTGGATTATGCTTAGTAGTTTGTGAGCGTATACATCTCTGTGAGCTTATACTTGCTGAGAGACAGGGGAATAGAGAGAAATAAGCAGCGCTGCACGCGTGTGCTTAATGGCTGTCCGAGATGTATTTTGAGCTTTAAAGGAAAATTCAAGTTGAGTAAAAACCAACTAGCCCGATTTCTAACTAAGCCTCCATAGTGCGAAAAACCACGGCATTTAATCTTCTCCCTGGTCCGGTGGGTCAAGTTGTGGGCAAGCTTAAAGGCTGAGCTTCCTACTGAGCTCGAGTCCACTGCTTTATTCGTGGCCACATTGCAAGCTGCCGCTATGACTCCAAGTTACCATAAGCAAGGCCGATCAGGTTTATCATAAACTAAAGCGGAAATAATTTTTTTAACTTTCAGTACGGAAAAACTTAAATATCAGAAACGATTCGTCACACTCATCGGCTCACAACAGCTTCGGCAGAGCAGCGGTGATGGCGTATCCTCTTCGAAGACAATTATTTTCCTGAAGCAGTATATGCTTTTACCGGTCTATAAACAGTTTGCTCGTTCCCATCCGTAACTTCATCAAAAAGTTACAGCAGCAGAAAAGCATGAACAACTGATGTACTATTATAGGGCCCCTGTTCAGGGCTTGCCTGCTCGGCAATACTACAGGTGAAGACGCGAAAGCGTCGCATAGGCGACCAGCACCGCAAAGAGCCTACAAGGAAACTCATCACAGTGGAAATGCTGGCAAAATTTCGCTCTGCTGTAACATTGCCTCGTAACAATGTCATTCTTCCGTAAGAAAAAAAATTGACTGATTACTATTACTAGGAAATAGGATTACTATTACTAGGAAATAGCATCTTTGCCTTTCACATATAAAGTTTCTATAGTTTCTTAATCTCATCTGCTCGCCCAACTTTCTGTCTCTCCCTTGCCCGTTTGCCTTCTCCTGGAATCCAGTCTTTTACTTTTAATCACCAGTAGTTATCTTGCCTTTGCTCATCATGCATTTCCAATGCCCATTCATTTTTGTTTTTCACTAAGGTGTCCTTAAAAGAGCACAGACGTGATTTTGAGGCATCACAGAAGGGACATGTCTCGTTTACGTAATGTGTGTTGTCAATGCTCTTCACACCGAGCCACACAAATGTAAAAGATGTTTCACTTCCATTTTAATGTTCTAGTCATCCAGCATCTGCAAGCCAGCCCCACTGCAATGGGAATTATTGTGGCCTGTAAACACAGTTCACGGGGTTTGCAAAGTCTTTGTCTTATATGCAGCCTAAACTGCAAAAATCGCTGTTGGAGTTGCTGGACAACTATTCACTCATCGTTGTTTATATGAACCACGTGTGACCAACAATGACAGAGCTGGTGCTAATGTTTGGTGAGTTGCAGTCTTTCTTTGACATCAGACCTGTGTTGACCCGTCACTGTGAAGCCTCCCCAACAACCAAAAGTGTTGTGTTAAGGTAGCGGTAATAAAAATATATTGAAGGCATTCCCAAGTGCACTGATTTTAGACTTCTTAACAGCCGTGTTTTTATTCAAAGCAGCCTGTCAAAAATATTAAAATTTTGTGTCGGCACTCCTTGAACTCTGTTTCTTCCCTCATTCACTCGCTGAAGTCTGTGGATGTGTATGGAGCGAGATGTGTGTGCGACAGTTTAAAGTCGTTAGGTTGCGTTCTTGATAGAGTGTGGCATTCTGTGGTCTCTGCTGCGCAGACGGTTACAGTTACGAGCGGACGGCCATCATCCGCTGGCTGGAAAGTGGGAAGGACACCAGTCCCATGACAAACGAGCCGCTGGAGCACACCATGGTGCTGCCCAACCGCACCCTGCAACTGCTCATCCAGAAGTACCTGCGCTAGAGGCATGCCTGAGTGGCGTCCACAGGCATCGCCTGCATGCGCTTGGGTAACCTTGCTCTGGGTGCGTGCTTCACTTTGCAGACTTCATGTGGTAGGTAACTGGGAAGCGCTGTGAAACACTGCTCTGTGATGCGGGATTAGCAACAAGACCTGGAGGTCTTCATTGCATAGTTCAGCACACTCACTTACGCTCATTTCACAGTTGTGAGTATGAGTGAATGATAAAGGGTGTGCGAGTCTAAGGGGGTACAGCATGAGTGCAATCAATTGTTAATGGACTTGAGTGTGAGTGTGAATGGCAGGATGAGTGTGTACATGAGTGTAGTGTGCGCGTGAGAGAATTGGAACACGAGTGAGTGCCGATGAGTGTTCGTGGAAGTAAGAGTACAAAATGTGAGGGAGTGTGGCTGAGTGTAAATGGACGGGAGCAAAAATAAGCTCTCGTGGCGATAAGTGCGAGTCTGCGCTATCCAGAAAAAAAAAAAAAGAAAGAAAAATGACTGACGAATAAGTGCCCTCTTATTGTGCTGACCCCTGAGCGTGATTCATACGAGAAGCAGTAAACGCCCTGATGTCTTTTCTAAGATCTCCAAGTCTTGCGCTCAGTTTCACGTCAGGGCATAGTGTTCCGGTGCGTCTCGTTACGAAATGTATGTACTGCAACACATAACTGGAAAATGCATTTATGCCACATAGTGTCTGAATTTCATTGTTTCGCTGCCACAGTTTCCCACCAATGTTCATATCGAGATTGGAATGCTGTTGTTATGCGGCCCACATTTTTTTGTTGTGGTATGAACAACTTTCCTAGTAGGACCAAATACCCATAGCTCTGACGGAAGTAGTTTGGCCTTTGCAGCACTATAAAAAATGTGGGCATTGGAACGATTGGATCACTGTTGTGAAACAGCATTTATGCCACTGTTTTGGTGTGAAATCGCACTCCCTTCCTGTGCAATTCTTACTTGTTCGTTACTTGTATTAGTTTCGGGAGGTGAAAGGGATTGACATTCTGACAGTAGCAATTATGAGAGCTCTGCAAAAGGTTGAGTCCTGACACTTGACAAGAGGGACAGAGGCAAACATCAAGCTGGCAATGAGAGGTAAAATATTGTACTGTAAGCCTGATTAAGCCACACCTGTTGGAACAAGGGAGTAATTAGGCTGAAAGCCCAAATGTTTCAACTAATGCTATGAACTGAGCAACGTTTTAACTAATGCTATGAACCGAATAACTTGAAGAGAACACTATATTGAAATGTTGACCTGTGATAGGTCCACGAATCGCATTCTTAGAATTTCGAAAACATCAATATTAGCGCAAGTTTAGGCTGTGTTAGCCAGCAAAGGAAACATATGACAACGAAAGACAAGCCAGAAGTTTTTGTGTTAGTCCTTATTTACCGTATATACTCGTGTAAGGGCCGCCCTCGTGTAAGGGCCGCACCCCAACTTTGAAAGCGGATATTTCGAAAAAAAAAAAAAACAAAAGTTCAAAATGTCCCGCCAGAAAAGTGTAGTTAGTTCATTTACAGCCAGATGGCGCTGCACGCTTTTCCGCTTTTATTCTACTTCCGCCGACGCGCCGACCACGCTGTTGACAGCGCGCCGCCATATTTGCCTTGTGCGGCCTCTTTGTTGGCATCGTTCCTAGCATCGTGTCGATACGTTGGCAGCGCGACTTCAGATCGGTGTCGTCGGTGTCACTTTGTTGGTTGTAGTGAACCCTGCAGAAGCCAGCGCACGTGACGGACGATGGGCCGGCATCTGAGATCATTCACTGCAGCATTTAAGCTGCAAGTGATTGACTATGCCGAGGAGCACGGGAAGCGGGAAGCTGGACGAAAGTACGACGTCGATGAGAAGCGCGTGCGTTACTGGATGAATCAAAAAGATGCCCTCGCCGCTACTAACAGGAGCCGAAAGGCGTTTCGCGGGAAAAAGTGCAAGTACCCGCAACTCGAAAGCGAGCTCGTCAACTACGTCGTCGACACACGAAGGGACGGCTACGCCGTATCGACTGACATGATACGCGTCAAAGCCCTCAGCATCGCTCGCCACATGGAAATACCCCCGGCACAATTCAAGGCAAGTCGGGGCTGGGCTACGCGGTTTATGAACCGTAACCAGCTTTCTATTCGGCGCCGAACGACGATTTGCCAAAAACTGCCGCGCGAGTACGAAGACCACGTCATTAAGTTTCATCGCTTCGTGAATGCTCTCAGGAGGAAGCATGAATACGACCTGTCCCAAATTGGGAATGCGGACCAGACACCTGTGTGGTTCGATGCACCGGAAAGCACCACAGTGGATTTAAAAGGTGCGAAAAGTGTGTCTGTGCGCACGACTGGTGCAGAACGCCAAAGGTGCACTGTGATGTTGTGCATCACGGCAGACGGCAGGAGGCTTCCGCCGTACGTCGTATTTAAAAGGAAGACTCTCCCAAAAGAGAAGTTCCCTCAGGGAATCGTCGTACGTGCGCAAGAGAAGGGCTGGATGTCCGAGGAACTGGTCGTTGACTGGATTAAGACCGTCTGGGCAAACAGACCTGGAGGGCTGTTACAACGGAAAGCCCTCCTTGTTTTGGACAGCTTTAGGGGCCACTTGACCGACCGCGTCAAGAACCGAGTTGCCGCAACTCGTACGGACTTGGCCGTCATTCCCGGTGGCCTGACGAGTGTGCTGCAGCCGCTCGACGTATGCGTCAACAGACCATTCAAAGTGGAATTTCGCCGATGTTACTCTGAATGGATGGCTGGAGGCGTCCACGAGAAGACCCCTACAGGACGGCTGAAGCGGGCGTCGCTCCAACAGGTGTGTGAATGGATTTTGAATGCGTGGCGTGCCATGTCAGTAGAAGTAGTTGCTAAAAGCTTCAAGGTAACGGGAATTTCGAACTCCATGAACGGCACCGAAGATGACCGTCTCTGGGAAGACGCGGACGCCGAGGCGAGCTCCTCCGAGAACGAGGACAGCGAAATGGAATCCGAATAAAAACATTTCTGGCATGTCATTTGTGACTCTTGCACTCTGCTACTGTTGCATAAACAGTACAGACCTTTGGCCTGTACTGCCTGTACTAAATCGGCCTGATTCGTGTAAGGGCCGCACCTAGCAAAATTTTCGAAAAAAAAGTGCGGCCCTTACACGAGTATATACGGTACATCATGAAATTGGGAGTGTGTGTGCGGACGTCTAGCTGATAATTAATTGGTGAAGAAAGATTATATGGTGTTCTAAGGTACCAGAGGCTCAACCTAGAAATTGTACACTTTTTCTGAACTGAACTGCTCGAGCATGCAAGACTGCACTTCTGAAAACCACGACATTGTACCGTAGTGGGGCTGCTGCATTTGAAAATATCAGTGCCAAGATGTAAATATTTTCACAAACATTGCTAGTTAATAGCCTGGATTTTTATGGGGCAAAGGTGAAGTAAGTCTTCAAAATCTGCTTGAGAATATTGCAACTATATACTCAACACTATTCGCTGTCATTGTGAGTGGGGAATCGCGTATTCTATTTCTTGTTAAAAGCTAGCAACACTAGGTAAGGAAGAACTTGCAAAAGCATTTATTTCGTTATGGCTTGGCAGGAATGGGATATGCACTTGCTGCCTCTTGCTTTCGTGTTTCTTTCACCGTTTTGACAAAACAGCACTGCAAACCACTTCATCATTACCAAATTCTCCACTTATAGTGGTGATGACTACTAGTGGAGCTATAGTTGGTGCTAGTCGGTTCCAAATTTTTATTGTAATGTATTAACAAGCAACAAAAACAAAGGGAAATGACACGGTCATTGCAGAGATGAGTGCTCGTCTATGCATGTTGTGTGCATCTTTTGTGTTCTCTTTTGTTGGGTAGTGTGTTTCAATCGACGAAAAAATGATAGTGAAGTGCTTATTGTGAGCAATTCACCCCTTCACCTTCCCATTCGACGCTGAGGTAAGTGCAGAAAAGTGACTATATCAAAATCCAGCCATATGCAGCCGTACACGTTTGCAGTAAGGAACATTCATTTAGGTAGGCAGTAAGTGCTTTCCATTTATAGGCAGCTATACCTAGAAAACAATTCCTCAACTGCGTTAAGAGAGGCAAAAAATTATACAGGTAAGTGTTAAGGGTTCTGCTGTAACAAGGCTTATCGTACGCGGACATGGACATTGCAGAAAGAGGTGTAACATGTCTGGCACGGAAGCGTGTTGCATCTACTGTTGTGGCCCCTGCTTGCCCTGGAATAAAGTTGACTTTTCCTCACCACATGTGTGCCCGTGAGCCGACTAGTAATCAATAGTGGTTGAGTTCTTTTACGAGTGCTGTGGTTAACGGTAACCTATGCTCGCATTTATGGTTGCCAGTGCCATGCATTGCTACAGGAAATTTGTCGCCTTTTCTGCAAATTTGTGTGCAGAATAGGGATATCGCACTTCTCTTGCTTTTGGTGCTTGAGCTCCTTGTTCTCATGCATTGTAATTTGATGTCATCTCATTGTTCTTAAGTCGGTAACTTAGTATAGGAACTTCCTATGTCACCGTCGAAAGGCCTATTCATTTAAATTTAGATCTTTCTTTGGAAACATGAAGACCAATGTCTATATTGTGTTTTTTGTTGCCTTGTACCTAGCCTACCAGTACTACTTAGAACTGAAAACTTACATTCTATATCTTTATATACTTTTTTCGAAGTGCTGCAGCATTTCAATAGCACATGTTGAACCAAACTTAGCGGGATTTCACGTTAAATTGCGCAGGTTTATGCTCATTTTTGTCAGGTCACGGATGTGGGGCAACATTTATCGAGGCAACTATTCAAAAAGGTTATTGGTTTGCTGGTCCAACACCCAGCAATTCCCAGTAATTATGTTCCAGCATAAAGGAGCATTTAATGATCACTGTTCTTGCATTTAAGCCTTGTTGTTTTATGTGTACTTAGGTCAAAATACATCTAGGTAAGCGGCTGACAAATTTTGCAGTATAGGTTTTTCGACTGCTGTCTTTGGCTGGTGGTGTGATGGGCATCTAGTCAGATGGAACTCAACTTGATTCGGTCATTACTCTTCTAGACCTTATGCAGACAGGGACCGTTTTGCTGTAGTCATTGCATATTTATACAGAGACTTCGTATTAGAAGAGCCATGCATTCTTTACTTAAAAAAAAAAGAACAGAAAAAGTTGACAGTGATGTCACACTTGTGATAACTGTGCTCGTGGCCTGCTATGCATCCCAAACTTTAAATCACTTTTAAGGAATTGCGTTGTTGTTCCCAAGAGAACTAAATGTGCCAATTTGTTGGGTCGTTAATGCATTCCAAGGCTCCTTTCTTGATTTTTTTTTTCTTATAGTTGTCAGGCTGCAATTACCCAATCGTGTATTTTTTAGAGTGTGCTGCAAATGTAGGGCTTGTGCTGTATTTTCTCGTAGATAGCCTGTACAAAATATGTATAAAGTTAAGAGCTAAAATGGGTGGAAAGTTTATGTGAATTTGAATGCATGCATTGGCTTTATGGTACTGCTTAATGGTAATGCAGGAACCAGACTTCACTGTAGTATGTGGGAATCTTTACTTTATTTTCTCTATCTTCCTTTCAATATTTATTTTTCCGCTGTCTGTAGTTGGGGTTGGGGGTTATATGCGGGGTAGGGTTATGTGGTAGTAGATATGTGTAATCTTTGTAGAATGTGGCTCATTTGAGAGAAACTTGAAACTTGCTTTCTCTTAAGTCATTGTAAAGGGTGACACGCGCCCTGAATAAATGCACGACATCGCGTTAGGAGTACAGATGTCCCATGCAATCTGCAGGACTAGTCAGTATTATAGGGTGACTGTACGAGAGTTTGTAGTCAATTGCAAACTTGGATGCAATGTTAACACCTTGCACGCTT